TGAACAGCCCTGACTGAAAGGTTATGACCCATAAAGAAGGGGAATGATTTGAGTGAAGCGTGCAGAGGGGAGAAATGTCAGAGTGAGAATGGCAGGAAATATGTTAGTGACAAGGAAAAAGCTGCCCCTAGTATTCTAGAGCCCCGATGAGTAAAAATAGGGCATTGGGCAAGAAGGCAGGAAACCAGCCGAGCGAGGCCTCTAGTAGGAATTTCTTCTGGGGAGGAGAGATAAGGGACTTAACTCCCTCCTGTCTGGGCCGACCGACTTCAACATGCGACATGTGATCGCTGATCGCTTATGCAGAGATGGGCAGAGGAAGAGGAGATTGAAGACTCGAATAAGTGATTTGAGCACTGACTGACGCGTGCGGTGCCGCGCGTCTTTGTGAGCGCGTGCACTTTTTTGCGCGCCAGTTATTAAGGGGCTGACATTTTAATTAGGCCGAGAAACCAAAGATCGCGCAAACACACGAGGGGGTTCGCTCTCGGAGCGAGACTTTCGTGCTCGATCACACGCGTAAACACTGACACGTTGAGGTAATGGCCTACGAGTGGAAAGTACCTCGTGTGCGAATGCGGGGCTGCTCAGGTTGGAGAGTGGAAGTTAAACAATAAACAGTGGTCTTATCAGACTCACGGCAGAGCTTCCAACCTGATCACTCCGACTATTAGAAACAAATACGACCTCTGAAGCCCTCACTTCAGCCCGCTCTCACCCGTGAATAAGCAAATTCTATAGAAAATTCTCCCTGAATGGCAAGTTTGTCTCAGTGTTGAGACTCTGTGCTCTGCTCCAATGCCACTTCCCTACTCTGATCATGCTCCTTTATTTGATTTGCTTATAGTCACTTGACTTTACTGACACAAGACATATCAGGGTTTCTTTTTTACAAATATTCGGGCTTATGGTGGAATGCGAGATTGATGACCTGGAGGAGGGGAGACAACGAGGTGATCATCCTATCACTGATTACAGTCATTTTCACTCTGGGGGCCAGTGATTCCACTGGTGGGGCGTTTATGGTTGACAGTGTTGCTGCTTCTTATAAACTGTGAGCGACTCAGGTCTTCCCCATGTTGTAACTGTGCTGCAGAACAAAGTCAGATCTTGTCACACATCCACTCAAGAAACTAAAAATAAGTTAACACTCACACCAGCAATTGAGGTCATTGTCTTTTATTATTGAGTTTGAAGTGTTTTATTCCTGTTATGAGTAGAACATGTATACTGCATAGGCCAGTGATCAATGGCTCATCGTGGAGTGACATTTATTGTTTTTTTCATTGTTTGTTTTGTTTAGAAAAAGAATAGGGCAGTCAATGTTTTCTCTCCAACTGGATGCTGTAAAAATTAAACACAAAGATAGACAACTTTGCGTTGAGAACAAGAATGCTGTTATATAGGTGTCCTCATGTATCCTCGTTGTGTCCGGTCACTATCATATTGAGGACACTGCTTTCCCCCCAGCAAGATTGCAGAATGAGACAATAACCTAAATACCTGTTGGATTTTGTCAGTTTTTTCTATCTTAGTTGCTTAGCCTCTCTCTGTCTTTTCAGTTCCATTTCAAATACAACTCCCCCCCCCCCCCCCCCCCCCCCCCCCCCACCTTGTGCACCCCCTTATCCGCACTCCCTCTTGGTCACTCTCTTAAGTGATTGCTACATTTCATCTCATGGTAAGTCGTCCGTCAGCCCGGTGAGCTATCATTATGCAAATGATGTGCAATTCAATTTCAGGTGGTTGGAGGGGGAATTTCTAATTAGGGTGAGGCGGAGCACTCAAGATGGAGAGAAAGATGTAAAGACAGAAAAAGACAGTAAGGTGGAGAGGTGCCATAAATGGATAGCTGAGCTAGAGTGAGAGGTAGAAGAGGAGGAGAGAGAGAGGTGGGTAGGGGAGGTATCCATCCATGAAATCAACACCTGCATTGCATTTATACTTTCCACTTTGCTATGAGTCTCTACCTCCCTCCCGTCTCTATGTTTTTTTTTCTGTCTTGTACACTTAGCTTGAATTGAGTCTGAGTAGGTTATGAATATCTGCCTTTGGCATATGGATTCCCTATAAAAGCTTTCTTACGCTCAGAGGTAGATTTTTTCTTATCTCTTTGGGAACCCTCTGGAGAGACCCAATAAACTCATAAAAATATAAAGGAAAAAAAAGGAAATGTTTAATCACCATTAAACATGTCATGTCTGTTTCACCAGGGGATTAAAGATTGGTACTCAAAGTAAACTATAAATATCTTCCTTTGACTCATGACCCATTTGCCACTTATGTCATCACAGTTGTCTGATACCGTGTAGCAAGTCATATTTGCAGTGTATGTAGTCTCAAGTTCAGTCTGAAGTAATCCAGTCTGAGCCATATATCTGATTTCAGTTCGCTATTAAAATGATGCTGTGGTTGATTTAGGACTGCATTAAAGTATAATATCTGACATGAATGAAAACTATATTTTTTAAAGTGGCAAGTTCCTAAATCTAAGAAGAAACTCTATGGCGCTCCAGTTATCTTAGATCAGACTTTGACTGTTTATACTTATTTTGTCCTTCACACCCAGCCTATCACACCAAAATATGTATGAAAATATGACTTATGAAGTGATGTTGTAGGTTAAAATATGATCATAGTTCTGACTATAAATTACATAAAAAAGTGATCCTGCCATGTTCTGTGTGTAACAATAGCGTAGTTAAAGTTGTGCGTTTTGTGCGACCACCTTAGCTCACAAACCGAAGTACCTAACACACAGGGTGACACTTTGTTACTTAAGTTTGATGTGTTTGGAACATCTTGAATGAGTACCATGAAGAAAAACTTTTGGTTTGTACAATTTGAAATACACAGCATCTTCACTTAGAAAGTGGTTCAACAAACTATTTGAAAATAGTTCTGGCAACTTAATAGTGCAGCATCTGAAAGTTTGTGAATTCCATTTTAACAAATGGCTGTTCTCTATGTTTTGCTGCAGTGCTGTGCTGTGCTGTGGCTTTCTTTTGATGGACTGTCTCTTATTCCTCCAATTGCTGTAATGAAGCATCAGGCTGGTCTGTGTTTCTTATTTATGCAGTAACCCAGGGGGACATCGTGTATCCTGCAGGGAAAAGAAAACGGAGAGGCACATAGAAAAAGAACAACTGGTCAAACTTTTCCATCTTGATTGAGTGAATGTGCTCAATCTACCTGCATAGTTTGCATCAGTGTGTGCTATTCCTGAGTTGCCCATCATTTATGATTTGATTTATGAGCTGGTTCTTTTTGTTATTGTTAAAAAAATAAAATCTGAACACGTGGAGGTGTGAGGATGTGTTGGTTATGAACCATACATACGCACACATGCGAACAAAGGGAACAGAGGATTCAGCTGAGATCAGCAGCTCACCCGGGGCTGTCAAATATTCTGTCAGCACAGCCCTAGAATCACAATTGGACTCTTTGGGAGGCATTAATTCAAAGCACCATAACAATACTCTCTGAAACCAAATCAACTGCCTGTAGTCAGCATATCAACTCTCAGCTAACTCTCTCCTTTCATTTACCCTCTATCTTATTTCTGGCCTCCACTGTTGCACTCAATTTCTGTGTTCCCCCTTTGGTGCAGCTATGTCCCTTCCTATCTCCCAACCCCCTCATGATCGCCCTCATTTTGTCTATGATTTGTATATTTTCTAAAGGCAAATGTTTAACATAATAGTCAAACATGAGCACCAAGTCTCCCAGTGTGGTTAGGACGTCTTTACAATTAGTGCCTTGTAATTATGTTTATTTTTAATGACAAAGAAGTCTTAAAACGCTCTGTATGCCTAAGGTCTTTTTTCTGTTTCAAGCTAAACGCCAGTGCCATTCTGTATTGTGTTTTAAAGTAGAGCTGTTGTTACTGGTGTTGTTTTTCAGAAGACACAGTCATGCTGTCAAAGTTGAAAAACTAAAAAAGAAGTTTTTGCTATTTCCATACATTTTGTTAAAGTTAAAGAGAAATATTTTTGCATTTATGATATTATCATATTGACAAATGTAAAGAAAGGTTTTGACATCAGCAAAGGTGAGGTCAGAAACCCTTTATGGTCCATGACGTTGGTTGTGGAAACAGATGGATTAGTGGGATGGGGCTGTGTCACTATCAGATACAATCCTGATGGGAGAAGCATATGCACTGCATGGTATTGTTGATTAACTATGGCAAAACCTACTGCTATTAATAGCAGCAACGTTTTTGAAGTGGCTCTATAGTATGTGTATCAGCATGTTTGCTTCATTACCCCCCAACATCAGGTAAGAATAATACATCACATGATGATGTACAATCACATAACAAAGAGGCTAAAGTGTTGAATGAATGTTGGTAATAGATTTTAACATGAAAGTGAATATGCAATAAGCACAAAATAGTAATGATCATGATCGCCAATAGCGCCATGTTCTTTACTTAACATTTAAAATGTTTAAAAATGAAAATTGGTTAAGAATTAGGACGGTCAAATTCTGAAACCAGACACCTGGCTGTATTGCACATCAGCAGCTTTTCTGTGCTGACTGTGGAATTCACGAGGGTTAGTTCACATGCACGAGTGTTATCCTAATATGCCCACGTCACCTCAGGCAGAGACTCACTGGGCAGTGACATGCTGTAGCCCTGTTTTACACATGCTACTACAAGCTACAAGGACAATTTAGCTTGGGGTTTGCGGGGGACTTGTGGCAGAGAGAGACTGAGGGCCATAAAGTAGTTAGTTGTTTGGTACTTTCCATTGGGACTCAGAATGAGTCAATCCCACATCGCATTTGAAAAAAAAGGAAGTGTTTTTTTTTTTTACCTTGATAAATTGTATTACCGATTCAAATGACTGACACAGAAGTCGTCTGTGCAGAGTCTGTGCTGTCCTCAGCAATCCAGTCTGTTCTCGTTTGTGCATTAATCTTTGCATTTGCGTGTGCGGCTCATGAAAAAAGAAAGACCAGAGAAAATCCGTTTTTTTTAGCCAAAGCTTCTTCTGGCCATCTGTTTTCTGCCTGTGGCACACTACGTGCATCCAGAGCGCAGCAGAGAGGCTGCCTCTGCTCCTCAGCTGTTGGTGGTGAGTTGTACTATTGTAGTGTGTGATAATGTTGGCAAACAGCCTTGTTTTATGAAGGTTTCCAGAGAAGAAAAAAAAAGAGTTAAAAGAAAATGAAAAGTTTTTCCCCTCCTCTCTGTTTCAGAGAGAGCAAGGGCACTGCCCGCACTTTATTAATGCACTCCATCTTCCTTGCTTTTGTGTCAGATGTAATGCAAAGGGCAGGTGTGGGTCTGTGTGAGTGTGTGAGAGAGAGAGAAGGTGACTGAAAAGAGAGCGAGCTCATTTTTATTATCAGGAGTTATTCCAGTACATGTTATCCTTGCCAAGGGCTGTATTGTTAAAAAAGTCATTTGGGCCACTTTGAAACTGCCTTTGATATAAATAAGAGACATCATTCATAAATGATGGCTCATCTCTTAGATTCAGTGTTTCTATAAAGTAGATTAAGTTGAGCTACTTTTAATGTTATTTGGAATTTTTTATTTTTAATATAGCCACTTTCAGTGAATTGCACCAAAACTGGGAAATTAAAATCTGGTATCGTCTAGAGCTTTTATACCATATTCCTGTTTTGAGGGGGAGTGCGTACTATCTGTGCTTTGGTACAATTTAAGATGGTGCTGCTGAATGTTTCTATCGAACCTGAAAACATGCTGCCAAGCTCTACACTGTTGTTTAGGAGACACACAATCTATTTTGTATCACCATCCTCAGTGACTGGGAACAAAAGGTTTAGTCACAAAGAAAAAGAAGGAATCGCAGAAGAGAAACAACTGTTTCGTAAAAGTTTGATATAACAAACTTTACACAAAACCTCAAATTTCACTGTTAATGATATTTGATATCGAACTCCTAACATTTTCACTCATCTTGTTATTTGACACGGTTAAACTTAGGTTAAAGGTTACTGTTGCTCTCTCATATTAACAGATTATATTAAGAAAAAGCAACCTCCTTTCACTCACTTTCATATGATTCTTTTCATTGTTCAACATGTAGTTTAGCACGGCTTGTTTATCTAATACAATTCTTGAAGACTGGAGGTGGAAATTAGTAAATCTATCAAAAATCAAGAGACGAATAAGCAGAAAAATATACAGATAAAGAGAGAAAAATCTGGAGTACCTCCAGTGTCTTCATATGATTTATTGTGCCCCAGTGTAAACTGTGATCTGTGTTGACTTATGGAACAGAAACTATTGGAGAAATGTAAACACATCATACAGCAACAAGGGAAAGAGTGGAAGCTGTACAGAGGATCAGAGAATACAAGCAAACAGAAGAGGACAAGAGAGGATGTGAATATGATATGAAGGGAAAGCTGCTCTGAAATTAGATTTGAACTGAAATTATTGTTATATAATCACTCAGCATGGATGTGCAGGCTTACGCATGTATGTACATACAAACTGGCATGTTTGCACTTGGAGTAAATAGACAAGAAAATGGCACTTACCTATAAATAACCACAGCTAAAACGCTGGCGCTGCTCTGATATGTAGCATGATCTGTAGTTTGTTTCACTAGAGGATCGAGGGAGGTGGTTTCTGTCCTCTTGCTCAGGTTACAGTCAGGTTGTGCAGGCCTTGGTTTGCATCTCCTTCCCATGCAAAGAGATACAAGTATTTACATACCATAAACTAGGGTGCCCCTGATTTTTATAGTGAGTTAATGCCAAACAAAACCTGTCGTGAACAGATACAGGTAACGTATCGTACCTTGTACTTTAAACATTTCCGAATATTTGTTTTTTATGTTCACAGTATAGTTTTTGGTATAGTTTGAAAGGTAATCCACTGAATTAAATAGCACTTTAATGTCTCCAGAGACTTTTGCCAAGAACTCTCAGATGGTGGGAGAGATACCATGGATAAATTAACATCAAAAGATGTGAACTAATCCCTCCCAAGTACTGCAAAGAGAAGTCAGCTGCATCAAGTTGAGGAGTGTAAAAATCAAAAGACGAAATGAAACTCTAGAAGCTGCATTAATATATATATATATATATATATATTTATTTTATTTTTTTAAAATCTTATTTATCTTATTAGAAGGAGAGATGGATGTAGGTAAAATGGGAATCATGTCGAAATATCATGCATAATCTCTGACCAGATTATAAGATTAGAATGATATTCACTGCACAAGGTATGAAGGAAAGTGATTCATCACAATGCAATATGCAAACCAATGTTGCAGTGTGCAGCTGTGTTTGTCTCAGACTAAAGTCTCTATAAACCACTGAAAAAGTGATTCATAGTCTGTTATTGACTGTTAGACCACTGACGCTTGAAAATCGACTGATATTATGTAAGTGCACCAGAGTTCATGTGTTTTTGTGGATTGTCAGAAACAACAACTTTAAGAGGGATGGACATTATAAAGAATAAAGATAAGGTTTTGCCATAATAATTTTCCACCGTCAGCGTGGACACATCGTTTGGTTTTTAGTTCTGAGACAGGATGTAACTCTGTACCCATAATGTATAAATAAAGGTTGTGTGTGTGTGCATGGCCGTGTCTTTGCGTGTGTGTCTGTGTGCATAGTCTGAGAGCGCTGTATACGTTAGATGAGTGATAGTGTTTCCCCATAAGTCTGCCTTGGCCTTACATTCCTCTCATCGCTATAGTGTGATCTGTGCAGCTTTCAGCTAATCTGGGAAGAATGTTGCTTTCAGACGCACATGTGTTCCATTAAGTCCAGATCTGCGTAAATAATATAACATGCAACAGCTAGCATTACAGGAGGTAACAATACCCCCACAGCTGTGCCTTTGGCTTTGCAGTGCCCAGCCTATAAAAAGTTTACTCCAGTGTTAATATCTAATGAGAAAATGTATCACAGTGCTTGCAGCAACTCCTGATTTCAAGAAAATATTATGTTAAGATAATTAATGTTTATAAGGGAATAGAGCCTAAGATCCTGGGTTGCATTGGGTATTGAGAGTAATAAAAATCTCAACAGCATGTTAACTATTTTTCCCCTTACTCATTCTTTTCACGTGTGTGTGTTTGTATGAAAACATGGCATGTGTTAACTTTATTGAATAACTTTTTACAGCTGAACAATAAACCCCTTTGTAACAGGGAGGATGATAGAAACAATAGAAATATATTAAGACCAGATTGCAACGATTAATCCCATATACTTTAATGTAAAAGTGGCAAAAAATGTAATCCAACAAAAACAAAAATCAACCCTCCCTGCAAGTATCACAAGAATACTGATAATCATACTAATATTGAATGAATTTGCCTTCCTTAAATTATGTGTTAAATATTTCGTAAGTCATCACTTGATTTTTCTTCATTCTTGGTTTTGTGGACTTTGCAGATTTTACAGTTTGAAACAAGAGCCAAAACACAGAACGAGACAACCATGGAGACGCTGAGAAAGAATATTGTTAATAGTTCTAAATCCAGACAAGTCTTATTGGTTATTTGTGTTTGTTGTCTGTCTGCTCTACTTGCACTGATTGGCTTGGACCTGCCAGACAGCAGGGCACTGTTTGCTTTTGTTGTGCGCTTGGGGAAGTCCCTCTTCATCTCAATCAGGCCTAGAAACAGTAACAAACACAAAGTTCAGAGGATGCCAGCCACTTCCTGGCGTGGTGCTGCATCTTCCTGTTGCAGATCACCAAAGTTAAGCAGAAAGTCTGAGTCAGTTAATCATTTTGAGCATGTTTATTTGGCATTAACTGCTACTTTTTGGAGCATAATTGGGCTTAGAATATGTAAACTCTGCATACTGCTCTATATTTTCGGTTTGACCCACAGTGAGCAAATGCAAGTTTAGAAAACAAAAGAAGAAGCAATATTAGACTCAGCCTGAGACTAAGTTATTTTGGCAAACTTCTGTGAGCCCCTGGTTTGGCAGAAAAAATCACAGATACCCACAGCCACCCAAAAAGTGAAAGCGAGGGGTAAAAGGCTCAGATGTGAGAGCTTAAAAAACAAAAGAAAGGTGTCAGAGAACAAGTGTTGAGAGCAATGCTTCTTGCACTTGCAAACTGTTGTGAGCCAACGAGGAAATGTGAGGACTTTGGCTGTTTCTGTTCTGGGTGCCAGCTCTCCTAATGAGTCTGTCAGGGCCAGTTAGCACAGCCAGTCCTGCTTGTGTCCCCTCCAGGATGCAGACAGCTGTTATTAGCCCCGTAATGGCATGCCACCGGGCCAGATTAGCCTGGCACACTGGAGAAATATCAAACATTCACTTACTGTGGCTCCTTCGCTGGTTGAAGGAGCTATTCTGCGAGGCATTCATTTAGCTGTGATTCTGGCAGGCTAACTAACAAGCCTCAAAGGAGAAAAAAAATCACCAGTGAGAGATTTATTTAGTGTACAGTAGCTCCTCTGCAAGGCTGGCCGAAAAAGAAATGGCAGACCAGATGTGTGTAAGACCCAGAAATCAGGTTATACATCAGACCAAGAGTCGTGTTTCAACAAAATCAGACTCTATCATAACCCTCTCAGAGTTACACGAAGGGTATTAGTTCAACTCTTAAGAGATATTTAGAAACACAGAGGGGCCATTTTATTGGTATTTACATTACTGGTTGTCAAGGAAGTGCAGTGTTGTCTTTCATATCAATGTGCCTCCATCATGCAAACCATATTGACATAAAGGACATTGCTGTGTATTCATTTTCTTTGTTAATTTTATCATAAGCACATAGGATCAAGAGTCCACTCAGTTAGAACTCATTCTGTCTTGTGGGACGGTTTGCACTGTGATAGATCAGCATATTGCTAGCAGATTTATTAAGGGCGTTACTTGCAGAGTATAAATCATGCTCTTTGGGGCTATCTTTCAGATTTGCTTTATGCATGGTTTGTTACACAAGCCTTTGCATTCATCTCTGTGTGGGTTTCACTTTGTGGTAATCACTCTGCATTTAGACCCATAAACACAATCTGCAGAGGTGTACTTGTGTTATTCTACTGTAAAAAAAAAAAAAAGAAAAAGCTGCAACCCTGCTATCGTCGTTTGTGCTCAGAATGTGCGATCACCTGCATTGTTTTGCATCCGCATCACAAATGAGAGACACGGACAGTTACAGTAAACTAAGCAATGCCACTCACTTTTTGGACATATTTAAAAAGTGCTTGTTTTATGTGATTTTTTTTTTCATTGTGAGGAGATGATATTAAAAAAAAAAAAGTAAACTGTGTAATAAGAATAACAGCTAATGGCACTCTTCATGCTGATGGCTGCACAGTGTTATTTGTCACTCATAAAAATGCATTACATCCTCATCAGCACTGTTTGAATAAGTATGTCAAAGCAGCGAACTGTGGTAATGTTCAAAATAAAAATGAATTAATTTTTCTCAGATTTATGAGAAAGCGCTTTCCACATCATCAGTGGCAGAGCTCATTTTTATCAACAGGCGACATAAAGAAGTTCAAACAGACTCAAAAACCTGAAAAAGAAAGTATAGCTCATATAATCACTTACCATGCTCATAATGTAAGATTGATGTTCTGCAAATCACGTGATAGAAATACATGAAAACTGTTAGAATAACAGAAAATCAAGAAAAGACAAAGAGAGTGATGAAGAAGGTGGGATGAAGCAATAAATTCTCAGAGGTACTCATGCCATGGCTGTGGGCCACGGTGTCAGTCCTGCTGAGCTACCATGTCTTTCCTGGCAGGGGCCACCTTTTCCCAGTCATTAGCTTCCCAACTACTGAGGGCTTTTTGCCCCAGTTCTTTAGATTGGGCTTTACAGCTGAAAGCCACATGTGGAAGTGCAGGGAGGAGCCGAGAGGCTTAGAACCCACTACACTCTAATTATCGGCTGTGTAATGTATAGAAAGATGGAGTTGGTAGAGTGGAGCAGTGCACAGAAACCCGGGCTAAACACAAGAGCTTAGTGCCATTAGTGCCGCTGCATGAGCCAATCTTATGCAGTTATTATGTGAAGTACATCACCATGAGTTGATGTGATTTAACATGGCAGCCAATGTGCAGGCTTTGTGATCGGGTGGAAATTTATTGAACTAACACAGGTAAACAAATTAAGCACTCTGGATTTAGGATGAGTCATTTTATCAGCTTAAGTCATTTTGAGTGTATTTGACGCAAAACTATGTCTGCGGCGATCACTGTTTTTGGGATTCTTCTCTGAAAAGTCAGAAAATGCACTAAAAATCTCTCTCTCTCTGCCCTTACAGAGCAGATACGGCGCTGCAGATCGAGGAGTAAGGCTCTACAGCTCTCTGCCCATGCGCCCAAACCCTGACGGCAAGAGACTGCCCTCTACTGGGGTAAGATTCCTCACTCTCATCCTCCCCCTCTCACCCCTGTTTCTTCAGGCAGCGGTCTAATTGCTAAATGCCACAGTGAATGCGCACAGTGGGTCCATAGGAGGGTATTTACTCATTACCACCACAAAGCAGACCCAACAATATCATAAAGAGTGCTGAGTTTGACTAGTACTTCACGGGTTGTCGGTTTTAATTGGGAATAATAGGAACAACTTGAATGGCAGCCAAGAAACAACATCATTTAGTTCCCAACCTAACACACAAACTTGTACTGTGACTCCATATCACACCTTTCCACCACTCTCTAACCCCATAAAGTCCCCCACCTGCTCAGTTGCCTGTCACCAGACTGTATCTGACCACGGCTAGGCTGCCAGAGAAGCCCGCGTATGACCCAGTGGTTTGTGTGGTATCTTCTTGGTAGCTTCTCAAAGACTTGCTTTGTTGCAGGTGACAGACCAACCAACCGCCTCCATCTGCATTCATACAAAAACAAAATAAACGCAGTGTCCCTTTGCAGAATGGTTTTTCTGCCCATTTTGGCAGCCAAAAAGAAAAAGAAAATCGGTAAATGTCAATGAAAACTGACTATGGAAATATTTAGGTGATTTTTCTTTTTATTCCCATATCTTTTGTGGTAATGCAACAGCATTCGTACATCAAAGTCTCATTTTTCTGTTATTTCATTATATAAGTGTTCACTAGGACGCTCAGAAGGAGAAAAAGATTACGTTTATTGAAGTTGCAGCACTTGCAGCACTTTGACTTTGACAAAGTGCTGGAGCAGTCAGTCTACTTTGTTTGTGAAACCGCTCTTTCATTTTTTTTTTAATATAAAAAAAATCTTTTAGTAATGTGAAAATCATAATTAGAATCTAGCTTGCCTTGCTTTTATGCATTTATGTAACAAAGGAGACAAAATGAAAGAACAATAGAGCAAAAAGAGAGAATTTAATTTCCCCCTTTTTCATGTTTCACTCCATGCAAGTGCTTTTTGAATTATCTCTTCAGCGCTCCAGGGCTCAGTGAGAGAAAGAGTGGGTGAGTCAGGGGGAAGGAGAGAGACAGAGAGGCAAGTGAAAGAAGTGTAATATTGTTGGTGCGCACCTTTTTTAATTACAACAGCGATTGTATTGATGTCTCTGGCCACAAGTCCTAAATCATTTATCAAGGGGGAGAGTGCTAACAAAGCATTTCTAAGAAAGCCATCCTCTCCCAGGGCTTGGAATCATATGTTATCTAAAGTGAATATTGTAAATGCTTTTCACTGGAGAGACCCACGTACAAATCATGGGAATGAGGTCCTTGTCAGGACATGCGTGAGGTAGTAAAGATATATATCCACTCTCATCTAATCCACTGCCGCACAAATTAAACTCTGCATTTAAATCTCTGTGCAGAAGTTGTAAACTGTAGTTATGGTAAAGCATCAATTCAAGGCAACAAACACGTCTTAATCGCCCATTTTACTGTTCGGCAGCAACTTGAAGATTACATCTTTTGTACAGATAAGTGCAAAAGAGGACAATATGTACTATATATTCCCTCTCACACCCACCCTTGGTTTTTTCTGTCATTTCCTTTTGTCTGTTATTACCTGAGTGTGGAGTCAGTACAGTAGCAGACTGTAGCTACAGGCTTGCAAGGAGAGGAGGAGAGTATAAACCACTTAACATGCAGGAGGAAACCAGACGTTTTTCCATTGCACTTATCAGGTGCTGCGGCGAGAGCAAGTGTCAAGGTGCAGTCGGGCCCTGCTCCCCCCTCCTCTTCCCTTCTCACCCATCCTCTCTTTTCTCCCCTCTTCCTTCCTCTGCACACCCCCTTTATTCTCCCCTGATCTTTATCTGCCCTCCCTCCCTCCCCTCACCTCACCTCCACTGTTCACCATGCTCAGTTCAGTTAAAAGTGGGCTTGGCACTTCCGCAGCAGCTAACCCCCCCCCCTTCACCACCAACACCACTTCTTTTCTCTCTGTCAAACTAACCTCTAACTCCTGCTTTTCACCTCTGTGTTTCCTGTCAAGGTGTACTGCCCACCTCCCCCCATCTAACCACTGGCTCTGCCCCCGCAACCTCTTCATTTTCTTTCTTTCAACATCTATTACAGTTCTAAATGCCTACATTTTATTTTCTGAGACGCTCAGCAGTGATCTTGTCATCCCAGCATGTACGTAGTTTGTAGTGCATCATTGACTTTAATGAGCACATGAATCTGTAAAATAAAGAAAAAAGCATACTGTCTACTTTTTTAGCTTATAGAAACATACACAAGGCTGCAAAGAGGAACATTTTTAAACTTGTCACCCACCAATTACTTTCAGGGCAGAGTTTCATTTCTGTGTGACAACAAAGCTACTTTTTAAAAACTGGGTGCCTGTACTTTTTCAGCCTTGAAAAAGTCAAAATGTCACCCAAAAAAATATTGCACTTGCCTGAAAGAGTTTTATATGATGCATATTTTTCACGTGCATAAGTTATCCAAAATGTGTTTAGACTATTTGATCACGTGACCAGATTAGCAGAGCACACACTTAGAGGAATTTCTCACACACATTGAAACAAACATAGCGTTAAGTAAAAGCTTGTGTTTATAAAAATGTGAGGTTTCTTTCAGGCACATACTTAAACAACAAAATTCATACAACTCAGAGAACAGTGTAAATCAATATAATCGACACTCAGAATATACATGGCAAAAAGAGATGTGGACCTATTACAGATCTCTGAGGTACCCAACAGGGTGAAACAGATGCTTTTGGAAATCACTGTATTCATACACACATTAAAAGATCTCCCTGAGAGATATGACATGAGCCATTTTAAAGCAGAACAGGTAGTCCCAAACAAGCCCTGAAGCCTGTTTGATACACCTGTGATCAGATGTATCAAACGCAGAGGGGAGATACAATAAAACCAGAACAGTGTCATCTACAAAGTCTGCTGCCATCAAAGTGTCACTCCAGCCTTTTTACGCAAAGCACTTTTAGTGGATTGCAATTTGTGAAAAGCAGAATGGAAAACATCCTTTAATCATTTCTCTCAAAACATTTAGAAGTTTCTCTACTTCTTTTTTTTCTGGAAAAATCTTCCACACAAAAAGTGGGTTGCATATTAGTTTGGAACTGGAAGAGATGTGTCCAACAATAGCTTGTTAAAAGAACTGTGTCCGTGTAGAGAGAATTACTAATCGTTTCCATGATGCAGGGACTTAAAGAGTCAAAGACACTCATATAAAAGAAGGACATCAAAAGGGTTTGAAGTCGGTTTCATATGACTAGGCAGGGCACTGATGTCCTGTTAGGTAACGGGAGCAAAAAAGGACCAGCAATCAGAGGTAAGCAAATTGTAAGATATTGAGATAATTGTGGGGAAAAAACTGTCCTGATGGCAGTGACCTCAGTTACAAAATAGAGCACTCAGACTTTGTGGGTGAGATGGTGTTCTTAATCGTATCAGACAAGATTTTTTCTAGTCTGAAACTATAAGATATGAAAAATGCTCTATTATGGCATTTTCAAGAATTGATTTAAAAGAGAAATGGATTCTTAAAGATGCCACCTATAAGCTTTAAGCCTGCTTTCCATAAGACGGTGACAATATGTTGGGAGAATAAATTATCATTCACTCAAATACATGAACTTGGATTAGATTGGATCCATTTTCCTGTTTCATTACAGAGGTACCACTGTTTGTTATTTCCAGATTGATAAAGAACAAAACGACTCTATCAACATTACTATTAACATGTTAGCATCAAACAAGGCAGAAAACCTTTCAGTATCACCCCAGTTGTTCCATTTTTTTGTTGATTATATTACCCAGTGAACTATTTCTCTGTTCTATGTGTGTGCTCTTCCCTGAAATGTTACTTTCATCTGGAAAACACTTTTGCTTAATACAACCATGCATTATGCTGCTGTCACTCTCTTCCAAAACTAGTTTATTTTCTCTGGCTCAGGTAATGGAAACATGCCTGATACAGGTTTTCTGTTTTTGTAAAGATTTGAAATGTTTCTCTCCATCCGAGTAAAACACAGAAAATAATCTAAGGATTGTTTTGCACAGATGCTATTCCACATGGGGAGGCATGGGGCAGATAGAACTTTAGCTGTCCTGCCATCCAACACGTTTGGAGGTGGCCGAGACTAATGTGCCACAGTGGCAAAAGTTTAAATTGGTCTTTTGACAATTTGACGGTGCTTTGCGTGATTCAGATGAGTGGAAAAGAGTGAAACCCTTGCCACAAATGTGTGTTGCGTCAGCAGCCTGCGAACGCATATGTTCAGGTGTACACAAAAACAGACAGTATGACAAGTCACTCATAAAATGTTAGTGCCAGAAGCTCCAGATGGAACCTTTACGTTGTTGATTTAATCCGCTCCGGTCCGAGACAAGTTTTACCTATCTGTACAATGGCGTAAAAGAACTTAATGCGCTGAGTCTTCAAGGTGGTGCGCAGTAACTGTTAAATCCTCATGAGTTTTTTTATTGTCGTTTTTCTTGAGGCTGGATTCTTGCTGGGAAAAAAAAACTGTTTGAGCCCCACTCCGAGCTGTTGTTGTTGTTGTTGTTTTAGCTCTGCTGCCTTGACAGTGGAACATACAGAAGGTGAGGGTTCAGAATCTGCTGTAACGCAGAGATGACAGGATTGTTTCAGGACTGGGATCTACATCCCTCCCTCTCTGCTGCTTTGTCTCTGTGTCTTTTTCTTTTTCTTCCAAGCTGATTTGGAGCTTTGCATAGTCAATTATGTTGGGAGTGAGCGATGGAGTGGGGGCTCCGGCTTCCATATTTTGGTGTGATATTAATATTGCATGAGCACTATTCTGTAGCGAATATCTAAGAGACTGCCTATTAAGGCAGCAGCAGGAGAAGAATGTGACACACACATGCACACATACACACACCCACACACACATTACATACATACATACATACATACATACATACATATATACATACACAGAAAGCCGGATCGCAAGGGTGAATCAGTCAGGA